CATTTCGTTGTGTTCTGCGCTCGTCCTGCCATTGCTTCTCGAGTCTATCCAATCGGTCAGACGTCCCTTTTCTTGAGTTTTCTAACGTTTCCAAAGTCCTGTCCTTCTCCAAAAGCAAATTATCTTTGCGTTTAAGTTGATCTCGGAGTTCAATACTCTCATCTCGAGCTTGCTGCATTGCCTGGTCCTTCTCTTTTAGTCTTATCTCTAACTGGTCGAGATATGCCAAGCCTCTTTCCTTCTCTCTGTTTAATCGATCGACTGAAAACTTTCGTTCAAGACTGATCTGATCGCAATGTCTTTTCTCTTGTTGAATAGTTTCCTTTTCACGCTTTAAAGAGTTTATCTCGCGTTCTCTCTCTCTCAGAGTGCTAAGATTTTCCTGCAGTTGTAGCTTATAGCGTTCATTTTCTCTCTTGAGGGACTCAAACTCAACTTTAACATCTAAGTCAGCATTGAATGCTTCTCTGGAATGATAGCCGTTTTTCGTTTGCTTATCCAAATTTTCCATTGTGCTCTGCATTTCTTTCACAATCTCCTCTTGTTCGGCTTGCTGTTTCTGTAACAGCTCAATTCGATCATTCGCTTCATTTAATAATCGTTCTTTTTCTCTTAGCTCTGACTCTTTTTCGTCTATTCGTTGAATAAATGTTTGCATTTTCTCTTGAAAAGACTGGATAACAAATTCCTTGCCTTCAATGACCTGCTCCTTTTCCTCAATGCGCTCCAAGTGACGTTCTCGTTCAACAGTCAAACGGTCAAGAATTTCCTTTCCTTTTGAAAGAATTTCATCTTTTCCATGCAGTTCTATCAATAAATGTTTAATCTTTGCTTTCATGGCCTTCTTTTTACGGGGAATGTGCTCTTCAAGGTATGTTTCGGAAAGTTCTTGATCAGCTTTGCTCTCCGTTTTCAAATTATCTCGCTTTTTCTCTTTCTTTGGTCTGGCTTTGGCCTTAAAATTGTCACCTGCTGGGATTTCTTCATTAGATACCGTGTTTTCGTCATCTTTGTTTCCAACAACTTGGAAAGTTCTCTCGACATCTGAAGAGTCCTGTGAGCTGAATTCTGGGATGACTTCTCCCATTTGTTCAAGTTCTTTTATGCTCTGAAAGATAAAGTTTTTGTAAGAGCTTGTAACACTTATCTGAACTCGCTGAATTTGTGAAATCTTAAACATCCACAAACTGTTATCAAAATTAAGGTTTCGTTCACGCAATCTTATGAAAAACCCTCCTGAAAGCAAGGACGTTTTTGAGGCGGGGGGGGGGGGGGGGGGGGGGGGGGGGGGGGGGGGGGGGGGGGGGGGGGGGGGGGGGGGGGGGGTTGATGTAAGCCAACTTGGAAACAGCTGTGCGACTCCACACCCGCAATTCATGTTTATCATTTAAATATTTTTCGAGGACGAGGACTAGGTGTGGAATAAGAGAGAAATGGGAAAATAAGTCGCGTTAGTCCATGAATTACGAATTTCCATCGCTGACTTGAAGACATAAGGGATAAGGTTTCATCCTGTTCAAGTTTTCCAGTAAGCGGTCTGCTTACAATGTAATCGCATCCTATTCAGGTTCAAGCATCATTTCGAAATTTTAAAGACTTAGACGTCATAGGATAAATGCTTAATGACTGAATTTGGTGGGGCTGAGGACAAAACAATTGGCTTTCGGTAATGACGCACGAACAACCATGCCGCACCCCTGAGCTAAATATTCCTTGTTGGGCCCTCCCACTTTTCGACACTTCACTAATAATAACATAGTTTCTACCAAAGTCAAGTTTGCATTCTTTCGTTTCAAAGAAGCACCAATTATCTTAACAAGTTCATGCTATCTTTGATCCCTTCTTTTTAAACATTGGTATGATGTATCTTCGGACGGTGTAGTTATAAGAGAAGTACTCGTGCAAGTAAAATTCCCAAGAACAGTTCTAACTTAGATGTAAACAGTATTAGCTAGCCACTGGTCAGCGGATGAGTTTTTAAAACAGCTACTCGTCATGGCTAAAGTAATTTCGATGCAGAATTGAAGTAATAAACATAAAATCTCATGTTCGGTTAGTCGCTGCGGTTCGGTTCCCTAGTAAACCCTTCATAACTCTGTCACCATCTACAACGAGTCCATCGTACGAGCATCAAACTGCTTTTCGTGAGCGTAGAAACGGTAAAGCGGAAACGGTAAAGACCTCTTTCAAACACGTTTATCAAATACAACCGTTATTGGCTGCAAACTTAAAGAATCACATAACACTGAGGATCTAAAACGAGGAAACTTACCGTATTCCCCATGTCTGATTCCTTTCAATCTACTACGGAAGTCGAAATTTAAATTCTTTGAAGACACAGGTTTGTAACGTGGAAAGCAACTAACAGAACCCTCACTTAACGTTGCTAACACATCCTTTAACTTTATCGCTCGCTCGTGTGAGAGATTTATCAAAAGTTATCTTTACAACTTGTCGAGATGCACATCAACTGACTGAGAACCGAGGTGCGAACGTTTAGGGAAAGTTCACTTCAGTCGCTTGTTGTTAAACCTTTGATAAGTGTTTCAAATGCTAATTATTATTGGCATTGCGTTGTCAAACTGCATGGTTGACTTGTCATGGACAAAAGACCTGCTCAAGTTTAAATTATGCATATCGTGCTCAAAATACACGCTACGTAATCGGTAAGAAAACAGGGCAATCACATGGCGATAACAACACTTAAAATCTGGCCAGAGGTCACAATATTTTTACCTTCAAGACCACTTCCTTTAATGTCATGGCTTTCATTTTCCACCCACTTTCCACTTTTCTCTATTCTTGTGAAATAAACCTCTTGAATACAAAAAGAACTGGGTATAGCCACTCAAATCGGCATTTTCAACCACAAAGTAGTTCAATGGGTCTTGGAGTGAAATGCGGCCAGGTTTTTCAAGTATTCGCGTCACCATTTTCGCAAACCACCCCACATAATGGTAGCCTAGCTTAAGGCTACATAGTCTGCATACGCACCTGTTGGATCCGAAACGAAGCGTGATCAAGTAAAATCACACTGACATTTCTTTGGCTTTTCTATGACGCATGAGTTCATGATGATAAATAATAAGTTCTGTTTTTTATTTCTTTTTTCACTTTTTTTTTGGTATTAAAATCCTTGAAATCATAAATAAACTCAACGTTTAAATAAGATGGTAAGATATTTAAAACAATAAAAAACGCACAGATTTCCCTCCAAGAAAATTGTACCGGTGTTACACCAAAGTTCAAAGTTACTCTAACAAGTTCGTGAGAACGAAGACATACTAAGGTTTCATAAAGTAGCTGTTCTTCCATTCAATGACACCAGTCCCAGCGCTCGTATGGACTCCGATTGCTGAGTTAGCACCGCGATGACGTCACTGACAGAGGGACGCGTTTCAGGGTCTGTTAGGACACACCGCATGATGAGCTCTCGGAGAACACCGTTCGTTACCAGGCCTATTTGTTGATGGATCTGTTGCGGAACCGGAAGCTCTCTGATGCACATCTCGCATAGCAGTAAACCGTAACTGTACACATCCGCCTGGAAGGTGAAGTAGTCGTAACGATGTTAAGTGGGACTTTCAGTCAAGGGATTAAATCGTCACTAGAGAAAGTGTCTCAGAATAGGAGTGTCCCTCTCAATGAATATATCAGATACTAAAGGTAACAGGAGCACTCAGTAGGTGTCTGAATCTAATTTCATGATTAGAGGTGTCCTAAAATAGATTTTCCACAAAAGCGGGAAGTAACAGGCATTACTGCGCAAAAGTAGAGGACATTGATATAAAACAAGGGAGACTCAATGAAAATACATGCAGCTGATAACAAGCTAAAAACACTGATCAAAATTCGAATAGGGATCTAAGGTTCCGCGAGGAACTTTTATTAATAATACGTACACATCTTTACCTTTGGAGATTGCTGGGAAGTAAGGGCCTCAGGAGCAGCGTAAATTCTGGCTCCTGGATTGACTGTCATGTATTGGCGCATGAAATTTGCTGCTCCGTAGTCTGAAAGCTTTGCCCTCCAACAGTCATCCCGTCTCCATAGCAACACGTTTGAGCTGCTAATGTCTCTATGCATGATGGGGAAAGGTTTGTTAAGATGGAGATAGTTAAGTCCTTTGGCGACATCCAAAGCGAGACAGATGATCTCCTCTTGGTGCAGAGCCCGCTGTTCTAAAACTCTCCTCAAATCCGTATCGAGTAGTTCGGTTATAAACAAAGGGCTGCCATCATCATTCGTCGCACCAATAAACTGTAGCAGGTGAGGATGTCGGCATCGTGATGCGATACTCATTTCACGCTCAAAAAGTCTGCGATTATGCGGTGACAGAATAAGATCGTGAATTTGTTTCACCGCGACTTGACAACCGCGAAACGTTCCTCCGTAAACCTTTCCCCAGGCCCCTACACCCAAACTGTTTTCAGTGAGAGTTACTTCCTCTCTTCGAATAATCCAGTCACGTGGCTCAAGGCGACGATATTCGGCTAAGGCGTCTTGCGCCACAGAAACCGCTGATTGCAATTCTCGCAGTCGACGTTCGCTTTCGGACGCGGTTCGTTCACTCTCTCGGATTCGTTGTTCGTACTGTTCGCGCTCTCGCCCCATGGTCTCTCTATTCTGTTGCACAATCATTCTTTCTTCATCTAGTTCTCTCTCCGTTGAGATACGCCTGCTTCGCTCCTCGTCCACTTGAATCTGCAGGTTCCTTAACCTTTCCTCCAGATCTCTCTTCTCCTCGCGTTCCTGCTGTAAAAGATCGAGCTGTTCAGCAATAGTGTCCTGCTTTGTTTGAATATCTTCTTGACTGGACTGACTCGACAACCGTTCACTTTCCAGACTTCTCTCCAGCTGGGTGCAGGCATTTCTCGCTTGCCGCAGCTCCTCTTCCAGCCTTAATCTTTCCTGCTGTTCGTCACTCAGTGTTCTTTGTATTTCGAGCAAGCTTGTCTCCTTCTCCCTCAGTTGCTGCTCTCTCATGTCGCGCACAGTTTTCTCTTCATCCAGCGCTCGACGAACACGAACAAGATCATTTTGAACTTTGCGCAAATGGGAACCCGCTTCACGCTCTTGTTCGAGCTCTATTTGAAGCTGTCGCAACGAAACACGCTCTCGTTCTAGTTCATTATTAATCATAGCTAAATTAGCAGCTTGTTGTGCTAAGACGCGATCCTTTTCCACCACAGTGTTTTCTAAGACTCGAAGACGTTCTCTATCGGTGGAATAACTTATCTCCAAGTCTCTCATTCGCCCGAGTTGTCGTTCTTTCTCTTCCTCCATTTCCTGCAGCTTTCCCCTTTCTATTTCAAGCAGCTTCTGGTGTTGTTGTAAATTCTCCCTTTGCTCCTTGCTGTGCTGATCCAGTAAGGTGATTTGCGACTGCATTTTTGTATGATGGAGAAGAATGTCCAGCTTGACAGGTTCAAAACCAGTTGTTTCAGGTTTGTCCATGTTAAGGACCTCTGACGCCTTCCTTCGTCTACTCCGAGTTAGTATGGCGTTTTCTGCTGAGTCATTTTTTTCCGTCTGACATCCCGATTCAGCCTGCTTTACACCACTAGAGGGAGATACTGGTTCCTTGGCCTGTATGAAAAAAAACAAAAGAAAAAAAACCAATTATTTTTTGACGAACGTCACCCTTTCAGTTTTAAGGGTAAACTGCCATGTACAATTGTTTCATCACTTTTCCACGTCGGTGACCGCACCTACCCCATTCCCCCGAAAAAGAATCGACATTCTGATAACTGTAACGGTTTCCCTCAAAATATTCATTGATTAACCTAATGGCTCCTTTTACGACCCTGGTCCTATTATTGCAATTCTTCCTCAATGATTTATACACACAAAGGAAGTTTACGAAACACGATATAAGAATTCCTCACCGGAGGAGACTTTGTTTCATTTGTGAGAAGCTTTTTCCGAGCATGCTTTTTACCTGCGTAAAGAAATGAACATAAAAAATTATCTAGTGCTGACAAAAAAAAAGAAGTAAATAGGGTCGTTTAGGTCCAAGCACATATATATATTGGTACGTGAGCAAAAAATGAGGTTGGGGGTGGGGGGGGGGGGGGGGGG